GCGAGAACAGGACATGATCTCACATGGCGAGAAGCTCTTTAGTTCCTTAATCATTTCACGGTGCCTTCGGACGCTTTTTTTCCACCTAAAACGTTTAGTTTCAGCTCAGTGATCAGCCACCCCAGCTCGGCGGGGGAGCGGAAGGCTTGAATTATTCCGACCTGTGAGCGGCCCCTGGCACCGAAGGAAAAAAAAAAAAGGCACAAAAAAGTGGAAACTTTTTTCCCTGTCCATTCCACCAAGTCCTGAAAAATCAAAATGGATTTAGAGAAAAATTACCCGACTCCTCGGACCGGCAGGACAGGTAGGAAGGCGATTCCGCTCCGGGCGGGCAGATTCCGGGGCACAGCCAGGCGCTGGTGCCCACGCTGGTTGGCCCTGGGGGAGGAGGGAGTCCGCCGCACTTTCTCAGGGATTGCCTGTGTATCTGTCGGGGGCGCGTTTGTCGGTCTTGTTCACAAGCTTCTGCACCAGTCCGAGTGTCTGTAGTTTTCCTCGGCTTCTGAGTGTTTACGTGGCTGTCTTCCACCTCGGGGTCTGCAAGTTTGTTTGGGTCCGTGTGTTTACATAAAGAACTGTGTGTGTGAGTGACAATATGTGTGTCCTTGTGTGTGTGTTACATGTGTTACGTGTGTTATAAAATGTCAGAATGTGTGTCCAGGAGTTTGTGTGTATACACGTGTATGTAGCTTTATACCCACATGTGTTTGTGTGTGTTTATGAGTTGGTGTTTGTGTATGTCTTTTAAGCACCCAAACTGTGTGTCCATGAGTGACCTATATATAATTTGGGTAAGAGTCTGACTGTGCATCTACACCTTTAAGGACCTGTGTTCAAGTTTCTTATCCTAAGTGAGTTTGGAAGTAAGAAAACCTCCACTGTGTGCATGCAAGTTCACATGAAAGTGCCCACCTCTAGGCACAGAGTGGGCTTGGGGCATGTGGGGACTGCCAGCCAGGCCCAGATGCCATTCTGTGGCAGACCGAAGGAGAGGTGGAGGTGTGGATTAGGGTGTGCAGCCCCTCAGTGTGTGCTGTGCACTACTTCACTCTGTGGGCACTGTCATGCCTACTGTGTGTACAAAGGGGTCACCTGTGACAGGCACAACCCTGGCAGGTGTGAACAGGAAGTGACTGACTAGTTGTGACACCCAGCCTGCCTTTGTGTTCACCCAGATAAGCCTCTGGGTAGGTGTGCACCCAGGTCCTGTCCTGTGGGTGCCGCTCCAATGGAGGAGAGCCCAAGTAGATGTGTGGGGTGCCTAGCCTGGGTATCCTGCTCTGGCGCCTGCCTGCACACACGCCTTCCTGGCACAAGGCCGGGTGTGTGCCTCCCACAGGCCCAGGCCGTGGGTAGCAGGGTGTGTTTATGTCTGGTAGGAGGTGGTAGGCGTAGGCTGCAGGAGGCTTCTGTCTGCCCTGAGACGTTACCTCCATCGGTGGGGGGGCTCCTTTCACTCACCAGGCCAAGTGGGCTAAGCCCCACACAGATACACTTTCCACCTCGGTGAGAGCCCCCCGTCCATCAGCATCCCTCCTTCTTCCTTGGATCTGCGAGCCCCCACTTCACCCCAGCCCAAAATACAGGTCAAAGGGCAGAGAAGGGTGAACTGAGACCCCAAACCCAGGCAAACATCCTGCGTTTGTGGATCTGTGACTGAAGTGAGGTGAGGGGAGAGATCTGAGAGGCCAAGTGGGGAAGAGAAGGCAGGGCCAGAAGATTCCTGGGGCTTGGGGAGCCAAGGGGGATCTGGAGGACTCCCTTTATCCTGCTCCCCAGCTGGGCCTGTCCTTCCAGGGCCAAAGGCCTCTGTACGAGAGACTCCTGGCGCCTTGGCCAGAACTCAGGGCGGTGTCTGTGTTGGGCGCGCAGGAGGCTGGGGGTGTCCGGGTGCGGGGCATTCGCGGGCCTCCCCGATGGCTGTCTACGAAGAATGTAATTCAGGGCGGTCGATGGGGCCTTTGATTAGTTCAATCGCCTGAATAATCGTTTAATCAATAAAGCATTTCATTGCCCTGCGTGCGGGCCTGGGGGCGCTGAGGGGCGCCCGGGCTGGGCTGAGCGGAAAAGTGGGAGAACCACGCCCCTCCTCGGCCAGCGGTCTGGGCAAGGCCTGGACAGAGTGACAGTGTGGGTGACACTCCACTTCCACTGGTCCGCACTGGTCGGGACCAGGCAGGAAGAGGCAGGGGCTGAGAGGTGACATGGCTGGCACTCAGAGAGGTGGCCAGGCCCTTTCCTGGGCTGCTAGACCTCTTTTCCTTCTTTGGGACCTTAGGCCGGTGCCATTCCTAGGACCTCTGCTTCCCCATCTGTACAATGGGGAGGGAGTGTGACCTTACTCTAAGCGAAGGTCGGGCCAGGTTGGTGATGGGCAGGAGCTTCTTAAGGATCCTCTCACCCTGCGCCCTCCCCATGGCCAACAGAAGGGGAAACTGAGGGTCAGAGAGGGGCAGGGACTTGCCTAAGGTCATAAGGCAGGAGGGAAGGAAGGACTTGGACTGGAAGATGGCAACTCTGTCCCTAGACGTCTCATTCTTGCTGAGAAGAGAGAGAGACCCCAAACACCCAGTCCCAGTGAAGAAAGACTAGTGAGCGAGCCATCTGGCCTGGGAGCCGGAAGGTGGCCTCTCCACTTCCTGATTAAGCCCTGGTGTCCCTGCCCCAGCTCTGGTGGGAGCCCAGGGGCGACTAATGATAATAAATCCTTTCCCAGGGACCTTCATCTCACCAGCCTGGGGAGGCCACTGGCGTCTCAGGGGTGATCTCCCCACGAGACACACGGGAGAGTTGAGGCCCCAAGGGAACATCTTTGGGAGGGGTGACAGGTGTTCTCTGCCGGTTCTGGGGTGATGAAAACAAAGGTCTTTACAGGGATCTCGAAAAATCGGGTTAAATCCCCCTTGTCTTGACTAGCTTTCTGAGCAGTCAGGCCCTGCTCCAAGCGCAGGAATCAGGCAGGAACCGCGCGGCCGGTAATAGCTGTGTTCCCTGGAGTCAGCTGCTTTCCTACTCGGGTGCTTTTGTGTTGAGGGTCAGAGACGAGGCACCCCATCAGACAGCGCTGTCCACAGATCTCTGACCATTTCTAAACCGAGCAGCCGGTCTGAGCCCTGCAGGCCTCGCTTTGCCTGAAGCAGGGCAGGAAAGTGTGCTGGAAGGGGCTTTGGGACTCTGTCTCCTCCGCAGAGCGTAGTGCACAGCCCCAACCCCCTGACCCCGCGGTAACTGAGCAACTGAGCGCTGGGGGCAGGAAGGGGGTGTGTCCTGAGAGAAGCCGGATCTCGGGTTCAAGATCCAGGCGGGCGCTCTCGGACAGTTTGGGGGGCTTTCTGTGGTCTTTCTTTCAATAGCAAAACTTTCAAAGACGACTGATTGATAGGAATCGAGTTTCTTCCGGGATAGTTTCCTCGCGCCGTCGCTTGTCCCCGGTGCCTAGCACAAGGCCGGACCTAAAGTAGACTCTCGGTGCTGCTTGGAGAATGAGACCACGCGGCTGGTGGCGCACAGTGAGGCCTGACCGCTTCTTCGCAGTGGCTTTGGGACCAGCTCTTGAGGCAGGACCGAGGCGCGGGAGCCTGGCTGTGCCATCAAATCTGTGTGACCCAGGGCAAGTCACATAACCTCTCTGGGCCGGCGTTTGGTGGCCTATAAGGCTGACCCAGGTGGCTAGAATACCAGATCGGGTCGTGTCCCTTGGGGTTGGTTGGAGGTTTCCGGAGGCCCACCTGCTCTGGCGGTGCTGAATAACCCCCACCCAGCGCAGAAGGTGTAAGTGGGGGTGCGCAGGGCCGAGCCCCAACTCCCTCTGCCGGGTGCATCACGAGGTGCTGGAGAGGGCTGTTCTCCGCATGGGCTGGGCTGACCCTGGGGAAGCCACGCGGCGACCACCCGGGCCGCCCCTAGCTGGGGGTCGGGGCTCTGGCTCCCGACGCCTCGTGTGAAGTCCTGGACATTCCGTCTGAACCCCACAGATTTTGGAAACAGACATGTGCAGACATATCCCTGCTGGATTCTTTGATTTCATTTGACAACCCTCTCCCCCACACACACAAAGCAGGAGCTCTGCTGGCACACACAAACACCCTGGCGTCCCAATAGTGGCTCTGGAGAGGTGCTTCTGGAAGAGGGGTCCTGCTAGCAGCCTTTACTCTACCCTAGGCTTGCTGTGTGACCTTAGGCAAGTAGCTGCCCACTCTGGGCCTCAGGCTGCACTGCTGTAAAACGAGGGAGAGCCTGGCTTCAGGGCCCTCAGTGAGTCTAGAGTCTGGGTTTGTAGGCCCAAGCACAATAGAAAGGAGTGAGTCTGTCACAGGCCGCATCCTTCAGAGTGTACCTGCAGCCCCTCCTCTTCTAAAGGAAGTAAAGTCGCCAAGACTCCGCTGAGACGCCAGTAGGGGAGGGGGAGGGACGAAGGTCTGGGCAGGCTGGTTCCAGACCAAGGACAGAGAACACCCCACTCCACCCCACCGCACCCCAGCCCACCACGCCCCACTACCCACGCGTGCACAAGAGACACGCTGGACACGGGCCCGCTCATCATGCGCTGCGGTGACCACTGAGTACCCCACCGCACCCCAGCCCGTGCGCACCCCAGCCACCTGCCCCCAGAGGCCCGCCTAGGGCTGTTTTTCGCAGCTGTGCACTGCACTGGAGGGGGTGAGGATGGGTGTCAGGGCCGGAAACTTATCTACTCCTCAGGGCAGCTGGGACTGGGACAGAAGGTGGGTCTGAGGGCCAGCCTAGTGCAGGCATGTGAGAAGTGGGGGCAGGTAGCGATAGGGGTCCGGAGGGATGACCCAGGCAGAGACTACAGCTGGGTGTTGACCCGAGACCCCTCCAGGGTCCACCCGCCCTCTTCCCTCACAAGCCCAGGTCTGGAAGGCAGCCCGGAGCCCTGGTTTTGATGGATTTATTTTTGATGTTAGAGCATCATATGAGTTCGAAGTGGTGGGTCTTCGGATCACTCCCAGGGCTGCTGGGCCAGGGTCGGCGGGCAACACCACAGGCGTGCACGGCACAGTGACCGCCCGATGGAGTGAGGCGGTCAGTGAGCGCTTGTACAGGCCCAGCTCCTTAGACTGTGGTTCCAAGGCCCCGCACCGAGAGACACAGCCTCCGCTGAAGACCCTGCCCTTCTGGCTTGGGAGGGCTCTGTTAGAAGTCCACCTGTTTTGTCTTAGAAGCCACAGGAATTCCCCAAGCAAGGGAGAAGGGTCGGGTTCCCAGTACAGCTGGGAGCTGAAGCATGGTCGCGTGTGGGCGCTGCTACAAACGACGGTGGCTAACAGAACGCACCAGCCC